GCACTTAGTTTCACATACTGTGTTGTGTCGTTCGTTTTCATGAAGTTAAGTACGTAGTTTCTCATATAGTGTTATATAGTTAGATCATGATGTTAAGCACATAGTGTCACACACAGTGTTCTGTCGTTAGTTTTGAAGAAGTTAAGTATGTAGTTTCTAACACAGTGTTATATGGTAAGTTCTCATTATGTTAAGCACGTAGCTTCAAAGACAAGGCTGTATTGTTAGTTTTGAAGATGTTAAGCACTTAGTTTCACATACTGTGTTGTGTCGTTAGTTTTCATGAAGTTAAGTACGTAGTATCTCATATAGTGTTATATAGTTAGATTTCTTGAATGTAAGCATGTAGTTTCACACCCAATGTTGTATCATTAGTTTTGAAGATGTTAAGCACTTAGTTTCACATACTGTGTTGTGTCGTTCGTTTTCATGAAGTTATGTACGTAGTTTCTCATATAGTGTTATATAGTTAGATTTCATGAAGGTAAGCTTGTAGTTTCACACAAAATGTTGTATCATGTTCGGGGGAGGCCTGGGGCCGCTCCTGGTGCGCTGTCTCCGCCACCCCCCTTTTCGCCGCCGCCGCCGCTGCCGCCGCAGCCCCGGGCATGTCGTCCAACTGCACAAGCACCACGGCGGTGGCGGTGGCGCCGCTCAGCGCCAGCAAAACCAAGACCAAGAAGAAGCATTTCGTGTGCCAGAAAGTGAAGCTATTCCGGGCCAGCGAGCCGATCCTCAGCGTCCTGATGTGGGGGGTGAATCACACGATCAATGAGCTGAGCAATGTCCCTGTCCCTGTCATGCTAATGCCAGATGACTTCAAAGCTTACAGCAAGATCAAGGTGGACAATCATCTCTTCAATAAGGAAAACCTTCCCAGCCGCTTCAAGTTCAAGGAGTACTGCCCCATGGTGTTCCGAAACCTCAGGGAGAGGTTTGGCATTGATGACCAGGACTACCAGAACTCAGTGACACGCAGTGCCCCTATCAACAGTGACAGCCAAGGCAGGTGTGGCACACGCTTCCTCACCACCTATGACCGGCGCTTTGTCATCAAGACCGTGTCAAGTGAGGACGTGGCTGAGATGCACAACATCTTAAAGAAGTACCACCAGTTCATAGTGGAGTGTCACGGCAATACCCTCTTGCCACAGTTCCTAGGCATGTACCGCCTGACTGTGGATGGTGTGGAAATGTACATGGTTGTCACCAGGAATGTGTTCAGTCATCGGCTTACCGTACATCGTAAATATGACCTCAAGGGTTCTACTGTTGCCCGAGAAGCGAGTGACAAGGAAAAGGCCAAGGATTTGCCAACATTCAAAGATAATGACTTCCTCAATGAAGGACAGAAGCTGCGCGTGGGAGAGGAGAGTAAGAAGAACTTCCTGGAGAAGCTGAAGCGGGACGTTGAGTTCCTTGCCCAGCTGAAGATCATGGACTACAGTCTCCTGGTGGGCATCCACGATGTGGACCGGGCGGAGCAGGAGGAGATGGAGGTGGAAGAGCGAGCGGAGGACGAGGAGTGTGAGAATGATGGGGTGGGCGGTGGCCTGCTCTGCTCCTACGGCACACCTCCAGACAGCCCTGGCAACCTCCTCAGCTTCCCCCGGTTCTTTGGCCCAGGCGAGTTCGACCCCTCAGTCGACGTCTACGCCATGAAAAGCCATGACAGTGCCCCTAAGAAGGAGGTCTACTTCATGGCCATCATCGACATCCTCACACCTTATGATACTAAGAAGAAAGCTGCACACGCTGCCAAAACAGTGAAACATGGGGCAGGGGCTGAAATCTCCACTGTGAATCCGGAGCAGTACTCTAAACGCTTCAATGAGTTCATGTCCAACATCCTGACGTAGTCGTCTCTACCTTCTGCAGGGCCAGACTGCTGGACAAGGGGTCGGGGATCGGGAGAGGGAAAGGGTGTATTTGGGCTAGAAGGGCGGGTGGGGAGCAGAGGGGGTCAAGAGGGCTTTAGGAAAGGGACTGCAGCCTGTGACACAGAGCAAGTCTATCAGGGAGGGAGGGGATGTGTTCACAGGATGTAGCCTTACTTCCTGCTCACCCCTGATAGGTCCCTTTTGTCCCTGGTTAAAGCCGGGTTCCCTCTTTGGCATCTTGTAACCTTTGACCATACCTGGGGGCTAGAGATGCCTTTTGTGGGTTTATTTGGGTTTGTTTCTTAAATTCACTGCTCCAGGTTTGCTATTTATACTGCTCTGTGTCCTCACCCTAGCCACCTTCCCGATTCCAGTCAGGTCCTCAGCTCCCTTCAGTTAAGCCTGGCACAAGGGCCGTGAACAGCAGTTGCTCTGACACTATGAGAGGAGGTCAGACACCTGAGTCAGCCGTGTTTGATCTCACCTAGAAGGACTTTTTAATTTCATGGAGTTTTGTGCATAGTTCCCTCCATGTTTCCTCCTTGGATCCAAGTGAAGTGTTAACAGTCACTCCGCCATCCTGTCCTTGCAGAAGAACATGGCAGGTTGACCCCAACATCTCAGACCAGAGTCAGAGGCCTCAGAGGGGAACAGGTTCATCTTCATGAGATGGTGAGTGACCAGAAAGCAGCTGGGTCCTCAGACGACTGGTTCTCAAAGAACCCAGCGCTCTCAGCCCAGCCACCTACGCCTCTGCCCAGGAGTTTCCCTGTCTGTCAAGCCTGCCTCCCACTGGCTCAGGGGAACTAGAAAGTGTCTCACAATTATCAGGACCTGTGTTTCAATGGCTGTTTCCCTTGGGGAAAATCCCAGAAACTAGGATGCGTCAAACGGGGTCGTGTGCATCATCCTTATCCTAACTCCTGACCACTTGGTGCAGTCACCTGTAAGCAGCATGTGGTCAGGGGCAGAGCCCTAAGTACCCGGGTGCTCACTGCAGAGACACCACTCCAAGCCCTGGCCTACCATGTAGGTGTCTGGCCCCCTGTGCCTGTGACTTCTTCCCTGGACAGCTTCAGCCAGCAAGGTGCTCCACCCGAGGTTGCTTGAGTCACTTGAGGATGTGACCCAGGAAAGCCTATCTGGAGGCCATTTGTGGGGCTTGACCCATCCCCAGCCTCGGGGCTGGTCTCCTTGTTGCCCTCTTACCTTTCTGAACTTGGGATCTGCCTACCGGCCTCCTTGGAAAGAGCCACACCCTGCAGCCTCCTTCAGGATCTCGGCCCAGGGCCTCAGAAGGGAGCTATACAAAGTCATTCTGATGCCACCAGAGCAGCTGGTGGCCAGGAAGAGCGGCCCGTTGGCCTTCACTGGGAGAGGTACCTTCCTACCTCCTCCCAACCCCTCAGAAGGAATCAGGAATTTAGGATGAGATGGAAAATGTGTAGATAACCCCAAAGATGTGAAGCGGGTTTGTGGAACTATCTCGGGTGAATAGATGATTTCCTGTGACCGCCTCCCAAACGAGCCGAGCTCAGCTTTGGGAGCCAGAGCTATTGTGCAGTGTCCTCTCTACCCAGCACTAAGAAAGGAAACAAGATGGGCTCCTTTCTCTAGGACCACCACATTGGGTGGAAGCCCTTGGTGAGGCAGGTGAGGGCCACACTCCTTCCCAAGAAGAGTATGAGGTTCTGGGGCAGAGCCGTCAGAGTCTTGGGGAAGTACTCGGAACCACATGGTTCATGGAGAAATGTTTTTAATTTACGAGAGGGTTATATAGGAATAATGTTTGGACATGATTACCCCACCCCACAATCAAGAGTGAAAAATCTGGATATGCTCCCAGGAGCCCCAAGCTTGGAAGCCAGACTCCTGGCCGATCCTATTGTCATGCATATGAAAAGTGTAACAATCTTATCAAAGCAACTACCGGGTATCTAACTTGTTTAACATTGAGTTTTGTGGGTTGTTGTTGTTTTTTTTTTTGTATATTGTTTACAATTTTGAGAAGTAGCATTCTGTTTCAAATGCTCTGTTTTCCTGACAGTATTGTTGAGTGGGTCAAACTAATTGAGCTGTGGTTTGGTGGACTTTATGTTGTGTTTTCAAGGTCATTCTCTGTGCTGTGTTCAAAACCTTGGGTTTGGCCCTCTGATTCTTTTGGCACTCATATGTTTAAAAGCTATTTATCTTGGTTCATATAAGTTTTCTTCCTTTCTGTGACAAAGAAGTGCTATTGGGCTTCAATTTCAAAGTGATCTCTCTCTCACACGCACGCACGCACGCACACACACACACCACTATCTGCTCCCTCTTTTTGGAGTCCCACCATTCACCTTCTGGACAGCAGGGGTTGAGACCCTTAACTTCACTCCTCAGGGCCATGAACGGCCAAACCGTCTTATGGCATCCAGAATCCTTTTGGGTCTTCCAGGAATAGAACTTTCAGCAGAAAGACCCAGACAATTGGGTGAGGCCTGGATTTGGAAAAGAGAGGGAATACTAGTCCCAGTTCCTCATCCAGCACTTACTGTGTAGCATCCAGTCACAACTTCTCTGGTCCCCATCCCTCCTGTAGAAAGTGTGAAGCTGAGAAAGTATGTCTCATATGCAGCTCAAGTGAGAGCTGAAAGGAAAACTAATGGACACTAATGGCCTCAGCTGTGTTCCTAGTCTAAGCCCCTCCCTGTGTCAGCCTGCGGGGCAGGGCAAGAGGTGTGGTCTGCTGCAGTGCTCATTCTCTCCTTATCTAGCTCAGGGGTTACTGGTCTGTGGCTGGCGCCATGAGTGGCCCCAGGCTGTTCTCAGTGGCACTATAGTCCCCACCCCAGGCAGCTCTTCCTCTCCCCTCGCCACACTTTTCTTCACCCTGGGCTTTGGGTCTGAACGGGTCCCCTGGCAGGGCTCAAGGCAGGAGAGACTGGCGTCCTGTGGAGCCCTCCTGTCCTCAGTGTGCCAGGTCTGCCTGGAGAGGCCGACCAAAGACCCAGGACTTTCCCGGATAGCCAATCCCACCTCCCATTGTGTGTGTGTGTGTGTGTGTGGTGTGTGGTGTGTGTGTGTGTGTGTGTGTGTTATCCCGAGTTTAGAGACCTCACCTCTTTGTGGCAGTAATGGTGGTTGGGGTCCAAAGGGAAACACATTCAGACAGCTGCCCCAAATCTTCCAGCCATGGTCCCAGTCCTCCTCTGAAACATGCCACTTAGGAAGAGTGACTCACGGGGAAATGACACTCAGCTGTCCTTTAACAGCTTGAGACACCAGAAATGGGGCTGGGAGACACTAGAAGAGCCTGTCACTTGCCCACAACCATTTTGTGAGATGGGAGCCCATACAGTTAGGGGGAGCCCGTCTGCTTGGCCCATCTCGGCAGCAGGTCAGAACATTGAACACACACAACGTGAACCAAGTCTGGAGTCACCTTTGGGACCGAAGGATAAAGTACTACCCACCACATGTGACTTCTCCATTTCTGGCTGCAAGTTCCATTTTTTTAAATAGGAATTTTCACCCCTGTGCTTGTCTAATGTCTGCTCTGAACAGTTCAAGCCCTTGTTGCTGTTTTAAAATGCATGCGTGTTAAAATGAGTCTCCAACCGGAGGACAAAATAAAACTCAAAAAGCTTTGTGTACAAAAAAAAAAAAAAAATGTTGTATCATTAGTTTTGAATAAGTTAAGCACTTAGTTTCACTTACTGTGTTGTGTCGTTAGTTTTCATGAAGTTAAGTATGTAGTTTCTCTTATAGTGTTATATAGTTAGATTTCATGAAGGTAAGCATGTAGTTTCACACACAATGTTGTATCATTAGTTTTGAAGAAGATAAGCACTTAGTTTCACATACTGTGTTGTGTCGTTAATTTTTTAATGAAGTTAAGTACGTAGTTTCTCATATAGTGTTATAAATTGAGATTTCATGAAGGTAAGCGTGTAGTTTCACACACAATGTTGTATCATTAGTTTTGAAGAAGTTAAGCACTTAGTTTCACATACTGTGTTGTGTCGTTACTTTTCATGAAGTTAAGTACGTAGTTTCTCATATAATGTTATATAGTGAGGTTTCATGAATTTAAGCATGTAGTTTCACACACAATGTTGTACATTAGTTTTGAAGATGTTAAGCACTTAGTTTCACATACTGTGTTGTGTCGTTAGTTTTCATGAAGTACCTAGTTTCTCATATAGTGTTATATAGTTAGATTACATGAAGGTTAGCATGTAGTTTCACACACAATGTTGTATAATTAGTTTTGAAGAAGTTAAGCATTTAGTTTCACATACTGTGTTGTGTTGTTCGTTTTATGAAGTTAAGTACGTAGTAGTTTCTCTTATACTGTTATATAGGTAGATTTCATGAAGGAAAGCACATAGTGTCACACACAGTGTTATATCTGTAGTTTTGAAGAAGTTAAGAATGTAGTTTCTAACACAGTTTTATATGGTAAGTTCTCATTATATTAAGCACATAGCTCCAAACACAATGCTGTATTGTTATTTTTGAAGAAGTTAAGCACTTAGGTTCACATACTGTGTTGTGTCCTTAGTTTCCATGAAGTTAAGTACGCAGTTTCTCATATAGTGTTATATAGTGAGATTTCATGAAGGTAAGCACATAGTTTCACACGCAGTGTTGTATAGTTAGTTTTCATGAAGTTAAGTACGTGGGTTCTCATATAGTGTTATATAGTTAGATTTCACAAAGTTAAGCATGTACTTTGACACACAATTTTGTATCATTAGTTTTGAAGAAGTTAAGCACTTAGTTTCACATACTGTGTTGTGTCGTTCGTTTTCATGAAGTTATGTACGTAGTTTCTCATATAGTGTTATATAGTTAGATTTCATGAAGGTAAGCTTGTAGTTTCACACACAATGTTGTATCATTAGTTTTGAAGATGTTAAGCACTTAGTTTCACATACTGTGTTGTGTCGTTCTTTTTCATGAAGTTAAGTACGTAGTTTCTCATATAGTGTTATATAGTTAGATTTCATGAAGGTAAGCATGTAGTTTCACACACAATGTTGTATCGTTAGTTTTGAAGAAGTTAAGCACTTAGTTTCACATACTGT